CAGTGGCGGACAGTGATTGCTTGGCACACAAACACGTATGCACACAGGTACACGCGCACCGGCACAGCAGACATTCCGGATGAACAGCAGTGGATGGATTTAGCACGACCAATGACCGTATCAGGGATATTCTCCCCTGCAGTGGAATACTGCGATGATCACGCTACGTCACAAATGGGTTCGTATAAAACGGAAAAATACAATGTTAGAAAGGAGATGCCTTTCGTCTCCAAGGTAATGGATAGGACAATGAACATAGGATTGCTGGGTATCTTTAATTGGAAAAGCTAATCTGTAGGTCGCAGTATGGGTTTATAGAGTAATGATCCTATGTGACTTGTGAAACAGATTTTCTCATGAATATAATAACCCCTGTTTGGAAAATCATTTATTGCAGTTGTTCTGGACTTGTGCGAAGCGTCTGAACAAATGTCGCACTGACTAAAGCCATAGGTATATGACCGAAAATAAGTGGTAGAGATCGATAGAAAACTCTCAAAAACCCAGGGCAGTTATCAGTGGCATAAACCAATGATTCGTTTGAAAATATCAAGCAAGAAACTACATCTTTATATAGGGATGCCAATGACCGTCTGTTCGTCGGGTAAGAATGACCCGCGGGAACGCAACAAATTCATAATGATCTTTCATCGCTAGAATCCTGGTGTTTTATGTGGAAAATGACATCCTCAGAGAAGTGTAAAAGCATTCATATGGATGCCAAATGCCATCCGCTAGACTCGAAATTTATGACGAGCTGCTCACACAAAGTACCTTCATTAGGGACCGGAGCATGCGGTATCCGATTATGTTTGACCCTTTTCAACAAGGCGATTATCAGATATCAAAGGTTCAGCGAAACAATGGCTTATCTGTCTATCCCTCGGAACAAGTGGCATATGTTCTACTCACCCCAGAATATAGGTTACTTGTGTGTGTTCATATGCGGAGATCCGATAAAAGAGCTTTGGAGAGAGTTCAGAGGCGCTTCGTGAAGCACAATGCTATACTCCCCTACTGTGACAATGTGAACTCGGTCCTGATACTTTATGGCTACAGTGGCTGATAAGCAACCCTTGCTGAGTATATAGATTCGCCAATCACACAACGAATGTTGACGTCAAAAGCGTTTAAATGAATGAAAAGGAACTGTAACAATCCAGAAACAACGAAGTGAAGCTGTATGTGTCCAGGTGACGCACCAAGGCAAGGGATAAGTTCTTGCTAATATTGTGTGCCAAAATATTGAACAAACTGTATGAGCAAATTTGGCAGATTAAACCACAAGATGTTTGGGAGAAAAACACAGGGGTACCTTAAAGTGAACGTTACAACATGCCAAAAGCAGTAATGGGAGCCAATGAAGTAATTCAGAATGATGCAAGTAACATTTAGCAAAAGGAGGAAATTAGAAGAGTCAATCTCTGTCCCCAGTTTTATTTCCTTATCCGGCCATACCTGCTCCGCGGCCCCTATTGTGCACACAGAGTTTGAAAAGCAAAAACAAATCTCCAATTTTTAGTTCATCCTGTCTCCTTTGCTTAATCGGCTCACATTTCCACATCGAAGAGAGAGAACGAATCGATCTCTTCTCCACTCTTCCAACTCTTGTTACGTTTTAACCATACTCGGTGTCGTCATATGAAAGGTGCTAGTAATACAACTCGTAATTCGAGGTAATAACGACGGTTACTATTTCCGTCTCAAGTCACTAGTTCTCAGAGCACTCTCGCCATTATTGGCTCTTGTTTCGCAGCAGTCGCGGTACCCGCACATGCTTACAAGATAAGATCCATAGGTTGGCTGTGAAACACCACACATGGGAAAGAACGACTACAAGCATGAGTAAAGTGGTAATGCACTGCGAACATCTCTGCAGTAATAATAAGGGGAATCCCTGCATGTGACTTGAATACGAACACGCCAGACTATTTTCTATTTGTGCAACACGGACAAGAACTTAGATGTATGTCAATTTTCCCAGTTGAGACAGTATATTAAACTTATCTCGGGTGAGATGTGAACGCTAAGTGAATGATTACCGTTTTTGTTAGTGATGAAATTCCACCATTAAGTGCACTCTACTTACTTGTCGATGTCCGTTCATGAATATGAACAAGACGTGAGTAGTTAGGAAACAGTCCCTACAGCCTCTCGCACTATCGAGAGAGAAAACTTATTCAGTATTGGCGTCAGTTATAACCGGTGGCGCATTGATCTGGTTCAGGAGAAGTACTTCGTACTTTAAAGATTCAAAGCACAGGTAGAAGCATGAAGCACCAATCTATCTGGAAGTGCTTGTATGTAGGAGTGCGGTCCAAGGACAATTACACTGTCCGCGTATTCGTTTTGAAAACTGGTCACCTGGTAGAGTTCTCTCGCGGGAAAAAACTGAAAGGGCAAAACCGTTTAAGAAAATTTGATCGAGAAGTTGAAGAGGAAAAGGGACAAAAAAGCATAACGGAGCGCTCCTGTTGTTGTGGTGTGCCTCGATGAATTCGAGAATAAAACAATTATTCATGTAGTTAACTTCCTATGTATCTTTACTCGGCTCCGGAAATCGCGGTAAAGAGACTAAAGAATAGAAAGGAGTATCCCTGTCATATTTTTTAAAGATATTCAGTCACAAGATGTCAACGACCGATCGAGTCGAAAGAAGCTTACAAATCAAAGAAAACGGCCAAAGTAGGCACTCCGTATTTGTGTCGCTGCTCCAACGTTTGAAGAGTAAATACATCAGCGATGCATCTCTGACAAGAGCAGAAGCCATCCGGACTCTCACGGGGACCCCCTATCAGAAGTTTGGCGAGAATCAAAATAAAGCCAATGCCTCGGTTATTTTTTGCGCAAAATCCTATCAGGCTTGGTTAAGAGGGGATGACGGTGGGTAGCACCAGTCCGAAGGCACCATTTCAGTGTCCCAACATTGAGAACGCAACGCGGTGCAGCCAAGTCGTGTATTACAGAACGCACGTCTAAGTGACACAATAGCTCGAACGCAGAACAGTCGGGTCTACTTGCGCGCCTCATTAGTGGTACCGTTCAGACCAAGGGCCACTGGTCAAATCTAACACGCGGCAAATTTTAGGCTGTTTCAGTTCAATATTAATTATGAATCATTACCTAAAAGAACAGAGTTCAAATGTTGAGTACTTTTTGTACATACTCATTTTGGTTCGTGTAAGAAAAATCACCAGGAGATTGTCGGAGAGAGCCCGGGAGCATTGCCAAGCTTGGTCATATAGCGGAGTGAATAGATCAGTGACAAGCGCAGTATCTGCGCAGTTGGTTGATTCGAACCAGCAGACCAAAAAATACGATGCGTTCCATCATATCTACCGCGCATCCGGATGCCACATACGAGCGGTTAGATGTCGTCCACTGGCAGCGACCGAAGCGATCGACAACAGACTTCATGATTATAACCCATTGCGTATAAGGAATTTGTCCAGACACTCACTCTACCTTGACCCACTGTAACGCTGACAAACATTGTGGACAAAAACACATACACACCCTTGGTCGCTTAGAGAAAAAACATCTAGCTTAGTCAATCGGCCTATCTAGGCATTTGAACTCGTACCCTTATCTGTTGTCTACGTTTATGTCATTCATTCGTGGTGTATCAGCGAAAACGACCTCGTAAGTTGACAATTGCTTTTGATGTCTATGTCGGGGATATTCTATCCAGGAGTGAACTTCTGTATGCAAAGCAGGTAAATTTTGTTTGTGTAAACAACATACAGCAACACATGCAGCTTGATGAAAAAAAACCTGGGTTGTCACCATTATTGTGAGGAACACTAGTGAAAGAACGTATCAGGTTCGGTGGTGACACAGGGGAAAGTTAGGTTGAGTAAAGTTGCAACTCCGATGAGGATGTCAGGAAGTGCGTTTTTCACGCAAGTAAATAAATAAGACATGTGAATTTAGCAATAAATATGTTAAAAGTGTCCGGTAAAACGATAAATCTGCATCAGATTGTGCGAGGTAGTATCCAGTGGCAACAGCAGCAGCAAATGCAAAGGTCTCACCAAGACAACGACACAGTTGCAACGCAAGCGAAGCCCTCTTAGTATGTGTTTCTCAACTTTAAAGTGCAATGTGACGTTGCAGAACCGAGCAGACATGACACATGCTATCACTAGCACCTAGTGAGCATTAGAGGTGGTCATTGGGGTCAGTTCCCTAAGCACATGTGTTGCATGTTAACATCTCAGAAGGGGGTTGTTATATGGATCAGGAAGACCAGTGAGAATTAAAATATAAACCTCCTGCGGGAGCGGAGTAATGTTGGTCTACAGATCAATGTGTAACTCCACAACGTGACCGGTGGTGCTGTTCGCATCGGAGGCTTGGTCACTGCAGGCTGAAGGGATTAAAAGTCTAGCTGTTTTTGACCGCTGGTACCTAGATATCAGCGCTCGTGGTTGGCGGAACCATTGACTGAGCGAGGTTCGCTGGCCGGTGTCTGGTTATAAACGCCTTGATACCGCACCAAATCATCCGATTTTGAACTGTTCAGATTAGTTAGTACACTTTTATTGGATACGTGGTAATTGCCTCCATCAATGAATAATGTTTGATAATGTTAAGCCTGATTTGGTGCAGCCCGTCTAGTGACCGGGAGGGGGGGAAAGATGAAAAAAATGACAGAGGCACTTGGTCGATTGGCGCATATTTTCAAGCGTACCGTCTACAGGACCAAGTACAGCAATAACTGGGGAAGCTTTCTGACAAGATGCGGTAGAGAAGTCGAAGGGTCAGTTCGACCGGCTAACAGTTTCCTTTCGTTTCGTTTTCCTTTAACCAATTTCAATTAATAGCAAACTGCCTTTGTGCCAAGAGAGTACTTGACTAACTGAACGGTCCCGAGACCATCTCCAGTTTTCACAAATAACACAATGGTAAATGTCGGTAGTGAAAAATGACATCAAAAGAGAAAAAAGTGTGCGTACACGAAGCTGTGAAATCCAAGTGAGCTAAAACGGCAAACTCACCCTGCCTTCTGCTTACGCTGTCGAGCCTGCGCAACCTGTCTGACAAGGAGTTGTCTTTCGAGGCGCAGAGATGACAGTCTTTCCGATAACTCATCTCGAGTGGCAATCTTGAGGCGTCGGCAGCGTTCTGCTGCCTGACGATTTGTTGCTCGCTTTCTTGCGTCTAACATCGCGTTGACCTTAAAAGGAACGCAATGAGTTAAGTGACGGATGAGACAGGTGAACTAGACTAAAGCCCTGGTACCAAGTGCGCCAAGCTCTCATGAGAGAATGGCTGCTGCAGAATATACCCACCTGATTCAGTGATAAGCTGGGTATGGATTTCAGCTCACGGAACCGTTCGTTTGACGAAAAGACTACTTCATCGTAGCTGAAAGGCACACCTGCTTCCCTCAACCGGCTGACATCACGCAAGTAACAGTTAATCCGTCCGAACACAGATCGGCATTGATCACTCGGTTCTGAGGAGACAGCATCCTCGGACATCAGTGGTGGAATGCGTTCGCGCGGTAAATTAGTGCACACCCGATCCGAATCGGAAATTGAATTCGTACTTCCAGATGATGGACGCGTTCCAAATGAGTGCGATTCAGTCTCACATTGCCTCCATTTATCCGATTTGCCGAATAGATATTCCACTTCGGAGTCTGAGCTTGATCCAACTGACGATCCAACTGGTTTATGCGCATCAGAACCCCTGCCCAGACTGGATCCGCGATCAGACGGTCGCCGGATGCTGGCAGTTTCAAGAACGGTTCCACATCTAGAAGAAAAGCATTCTTCAGTTGAACCACGAGTGTTATGTTCCGGGAATGAAGAGGTAACCGCGCAAGCTTCTGTGTCACTGTCCGTCCATTTAACTGGAATTTGTGAGGAGCTTGGAACCATTCTGTGGAGTAAACCGGGCCTTGATAAATCTTTACATTCTTTAGATTTGAAGGATCTGTCGACGATTGCGTTACACGAGTCGGATAGTGTCTGTGAAGCCCATTCCTGATAGAAAGAGAACAATAATAACATGCATCTTAGCACTTCAGTTTAAGGGAAAATGTGGGATAAGTGCATGCATAAATTTATACAGCACCCTTAAAATCGTCAACACTCCTGCGCTTTGTAATAATGCTTTCGTATCATACAACCGTGAGGACCCAAGTAATGAGCAAGAAGAGGTAAAAGGGAGAATTAATAAGAAGTCGAAATGTCTTACACAAGGAGTAAGAATTTTTGGACTGTAAGCGCATGATGGTTGTATTGTCTATGTACATTGCAAGGTGCACTTTCTGGCCGCGACATGCAAAGCAACCCAAGATTAGTGAGATATGAGAACTAGAACGGCGAAGCCCAACAGTCGCTCGATAAGTAGCAGTACCAAGTGGGGAATCGATATTTTCGGATGGAAAATTGATAGGTTATGGGTCGAATCAGATGCAACTACAGAGGTGAGGGCAGGCTCAGACCAAATTGAACATCGGTCAGCTCCGGCAGTGAACCGCGTTTAGTTTGAGATAGCTCAGACTGGAAGACTGAGGAGACCAAATACCCCTGATAGGTAGAGTTTGAGGAAATGAAGACAAGAACCAGAGATAATACGTTCCTCAGTGGCTCTACCGTGGAAGGATAGCAAGAAGCAGTCATGCAATTAATTGCGCAATCAGCGCGTGCAGTGGTAACCAAGAGGTACGACGGCTGAACTATGAGGTAACCAAATGATCGCTTGTTGGAGAAGATGGCAATATCAGTGTAAACCAGCCCGGTGACCACTGGGTGTGGCAGAATGTATTTACGGTCTCCGTTGATACTGACCTGGAAGTTAGGTATTAAGCCCACAATTATGATCAACCGATAGTGGCTGGCAGTTTTTTTTAATCTGGCTGTGATATCACAGCGGAGATTAGAGAGATAAAAGGCGAACACCATGTAGACAGAGCCGACGCCCGGTTCATCTACTGGATCAGCGATCAGCTGTGCTTCGAGATACATCTTCATTGGGGCAACAAACGTCAGAGTGCTATGTTAGGTAAAGGGCTAATGTTGAACAAGTTGAGTAACAAACTAGACATTGCGTGGTGGCTGAAGGTGAAAAGTAAAAGTAAAGAGTTGACGGTCTTCGGTAACATGAACGAGCATGGAGCAAATGAGTTCGCGGTAGACCAGAGTATTATTACTAACTCATAATTGGTAATGTTAGATCTGATAAACTGAAAGCGCTAGAAATGAAAGTTAGAAAGGAATGGAGTCCCGAAAGATTTTCAACAGACAGTCGGAAGCTGCGAAACCAGGGTTCATGAAAAAGAGCAAGTTGGAAAAAGTGCACAAGTAAGACGTCAGTAAGCCTGTAGTGACCTAGCGATTCCCCCGTATGACTGTGTAAACTATTGTAAAATTATAGCTTTCTTATGTATTATGGAAGTAGGCGGTTTTCCTATTGGAATGTTGTTCCCGTTTGTTTGAAACACAAACACGATATCTGCCTTTGGCGCGCGCGACTCGACTGCGAACGACGCTCCGTCAACGCACTCGACGCCTAACCACATCTTTCTTGGCTAGCTCTCTCCTGGTGCCCTAATTTCAGCATTAGCTAGCTCTTCTCCCGTTCAATAAACTTTTTCTCTACCTTAACTTTTGTGTGTTGTACCCAGTGCTTTTGATTGGCCGTCTAGTCTCGTACCGGATATATAGCGCACGATCATCGCGCTATAAGCCGTACCGACGCTTCGTTGTAATGCAAACTCCACCGGCTGCGCGTGGGCTAAGGATACTGCGAGGGTGGTAGGTCCCCTATGTAGGCTCGAACTCGCAACCTCCGGAGTACAAGGTAAGCGAGTGACACTTTTGGCCACCGGTGGACTTGTTCCTTGGAACCAAGCTTCTGAGATAGCAGCGATGCGCAATGAGGCTGGACCTAACTCGCAAGGAGTCTGGACCATACGGTGGTGCGATGGTTAGCGTGCCTGAGTGATCCATTGAGCTATACTGGGTGCTGCTTTTGCAACTTCGGTGCCACTCATACAGATGTCAATGTTAGAGCCAGACAAACTCACTCTGTCGTGGGGTTGAATGAGGTGGCTCCTATTCTTAAACGACTCTGTAGTCCATTGCTCCGCTGCTGCGGACAGTTTTGACAAGGCTTTGTTGAACCTATCGTCTCTGTTAGCGGCAACTGAAGTACTGCACACGAAGAATCTTCTCAACAATTCTGATGTGTGGCACGCGAGGATAATCAAGGTACTTCTGCTGCATCGAGCAGGTGATAGGGTTGATGCTAGTCAAGCTTCCATCCTTATTCCCTTTTGCGGTTTCACCATTGTCCGTTCCAGCTTCCTTTATCTCCTGTTTCACCCCATCTCGGCCTCCCCACTTGCTTCAATATCGCTGTTTTAGTTCAACCCAGGTGAGCAGAGCGTCATCCTGCACTGTCAGCCATGTCAGCAAGCGCCATCCAGTTCCGGTCTTGGACCTCGATCTCTTCAGACTGGCATGCGTATGTCGCACATTCTTCAGATCGGTCAACAGCACACTTGCCGACATTAGAACCTTCGATCGAATCTGCTGCTTATCGAACTCAGACTCGAGTCTGTACTCACTCTGATCCCTTCAGTACACTAGCAGCACTTCTATGGCTTACGGTGACGATGCGTTCGAGCACCGCAAGCTGGTGTTGCTACCTGATCCCGCTGAACTGTCTGGTTGATTGGATTCATCAGTACCGATGTGTGCGGTCGATTGCTGTAGTAAACTTCGAACACGGATAATAGGTGTCTATTCGTTATCGCTGCTATGACGACAACTGTAGCGATACTGGTAAAGACGACTTCTTGCAAGAATGAACTCCTTCGCCACAGAAGAAGCTCGACATTGTGTGCTGGCTGGGTATGAACGCTCAAGTGAAATATCACAGATGAGCGGCATTGGCGCAAGATGGTAGCTCCGTAATGATAACGGTGAGCGTACTCATTGTGTGAGATGTCCTTATTTTTGGAGCACTATTCCGAACCGCGGAGGTACTTGCGCCACAGCCTCGAACAGTTAGACAAATCGCACATGCGATAAGTGCTGGGCTGCGTCAGATGTGCTCGTTGAGCACATGTGTGGACACGATCTGCATTGTATGCGCTGTGCGATGCGCTTGCGCCGCGACGATGTTGAGCGCTCGCGACGTGATCACTGTTGACGCTATCAATTACGCTGTTCGAGTGATAACGCTCATGATGATGAACTCATGGTCTCATATGAACAGCTCTGCAGCAGCTCTCAGGTGTGTGTTAATCGCACATGAACATGGTTCTCACAGTTTGGATTAAGATGCTCCCGGCATTCGCTGAAGGAACACAAAACTCGCAAGTGCTCGGACGAACTCCGGCTAGTCGGAAGAGAACCGTGAATCCTGGTGGTCTCGGTGCAACAGAGATGAATGCCGCTGCCTGGACATCGTGAGTTATTCGTTATACGGAAGGGCAGGAGACTGGTGAGTGAAGTATCGTACGAGAGTGAGCTATCACAATTATCAAAGCTGACGTTGGCTGAGTTGAAAGCAATTCATCGGTCGGAATTTAGATTTGCCGACCAGGATCGCCTGCTCCGGTGTTCTTTGATCACCTCTCGTCGAAGCGAACGTGGATAACTGTTGAAGTTAAGCGGGACTGATGACTTCTCAGCCTCAATCGGGACGCTCTGTATTACACGAGTGCTAGTGAGACTGTGGAGTAGAACGCACGGATTGGGCCGCTCGTAGTCATTTCAAGGAGGTCACGATCGAATCGCCCATGAGGAATGTCTGATCTCATGCTAAATGTTGCCTCTCTCATTTCAAGACTGATGGCACTCGTGAAGCCAGATCGCGAAGAGCAAGCTGGATTCGTCGAGGTCGTAGCTGTTTGACCATCTTCACCTTGCAGCAGTGTTGAGCATCGTCACATATATTGCGCCACCGTAGTCGTGCTCTCGATATCAAGGTGATGATCAGTGGATGACAGCTTGACCTACTCAGAAGGTGTACCTGAGAAGTATTGATATTATCGAGCATATATGCGCGCAGCTCGGCAGAGTGAGGCTACGGAGTGTCGTCGCCTTATCTCAGCAGTGTGAGAAGATGCCGGTCACTTCCTCGTCACTTGCGTTGAGAAGTCATGAATCGCGTTCAGCACGATAGAAGGTGGAGCTACTCCAGAGACGACTTTGACTAAGTAGCTGATGATATTGCCTGATTGTGACAGTCAAACGTGCCAACACACTGACAGATTAGCAAGCTGTCGTATTCGGCTTTGCTTCCCCTCGAGGCAAAGCTTTCTCAGATGTCTGGACGCTCCTACGCTGACCTTGGCGGGACAGCTAGAAGTGTCAAAATTCAACTCTGTGAAGTTGTATCAGCCCGTGGATGAGATGAGATCACGATCGTATAGCAAAGCTCGGGCCTTTGCTACCTTCGCACTTATGGCGGTGGCGCGACATCACGCTTGCCCTGAAGGGTAGTGTGTACAATGCAGCAGTACATTCAACCCTACTGTACGGTTGTGAAACCTGGCCGCTTAAAGCAGCGGACCTGAAGAGGCTAGTTACGTTCGACCACCGGTGCCTTCGTAATTTAGCTCACATTTGGTGGGAACACCGCGTGAGCAACGAGCTTGTTCGACGCTTTGTTTATGGCACAGGAAAAGGAAATGAACCGTTCAGCACCGTTATTTCACGCACCAGACTCCGATGGCTCGGCAAAGTGTTACGCAAGCCAGCCAACCGACTCCCTCGACGTGCGTTGTTTGCGCGCCGGGGGTGTGGATGGAAGAAGAGGAGGGGTGGCCAAGCGATGACTTGGTCCAGAGGAATGAAGGCCCTCACTTCTGAGCTGGCCTCGGTTGGAGCGTCTCGGCTCCCTGTTTGGGGTCCGAAAGACGATGAACACGTTTGGTTGGACACACTTGCTGATATGGCTAGGAGCCGACCTCAGTGGCGTTCGTGCTGTGAGTTTCTTTGTCCCACCTCATCCCTCTTAGTCTCCCCCTCCAACCACGATCTCATTATTTGGCCTTATATAATTTTGCATAGTAATTTTTTGGTGCACAGCAGCCGACTGGTAGCTTACCGGAACGATGCCCATCCGTTACCGGTAGCTCGGCCAGCTTGCACCAGTTGCATTTTTCTCTCCTTTTTTCTCTGTATTGCGGCACAGTAGCTGAGGTGTTCCCCACCTCTAGCTAACGTGTATGATGATGATAATGATGATGATAGCAGCGACGCCTTAGAAGTAACGGTTAGTCGGTGAATGTGAAAAAAGTCGTTAATCTACATGTAAAAGTTTTAAAAAATGTCAAATCGGGGGCACCATCGTTAACTAGGACGATGTGTTCAAAGAAGGGTTGAGAAAAGCGGACGTCAGTAATATATTGGTGGACGCCATACCGACATCTCACTGCCACGCGGCCACCAGCAGTAAGGTACCAGCCAGGTAAACTGTGAAGTCACCGCAGCTACGCAGATTCGGACCGGTGACCTCTGGGTTATAAGACAGACGACCCAATCCTAGACCACCAGCAGACATTAAGGGTTAATGAAGAAAACTGAGCAATCATGTACTCTGCAGCGAGAGCTACACTTTCATCGGATTTCGTAAAACAAGTAAAAGCAATAACAACGAAAAACGTTCCTGTGGACAAGCAGATAAGACGTCAGGTGTCAACACCAGCGCAGATCCTGTTTCATTTTCAGCTCCGGCTGTTTCTGTAGTTGGAAGGTACACACAATGACGGAACCACCCGCGGGGTGTAGGGTTACGAGCAAACCACATCGAAAACGTCTCCACTCTCCAGATTCGGTGTTCCCGGTGATCTGGAGGATTATCGTTTTCTACAAACTGAAGTGCAGTTCGAATCCAACTGAAAACTGTAATCCAACTACATAGGGAACGTTTCAGACAAGAGTTCTTCTCAAATTGCAAAATGGTAAGAAGGAACAACATTTCGACAGGATAAACTGAGTTCAGCTATTTCGCGTATTTTCGTCTGTCGTTTACATACAATTAGTGGTATGGTTAGGTTGCGTACAGAAACATTCGAGGAGTAACATCGCTGGTGAATCGAACACGATCAAAGTTCATCTGATGCTGGCCGGCATTCCGCTTAGAGGAACGTGACCACCCACCTCATCAAGGCAAGGGGAGACCGGCGACGAACCCGGTCTGTTTACACAAAGTGGGTTTCAGCCGCCTAATTGTCGAAGCCTCAGCGAACTGAAGCAGGCGGGCGGCGCTGTTGGTTGACTATCCTAAATGATTCACTAGGGTTTTCACACACGCGGCAGTCAAGTAGGTGTCGAGCGAGTGAACTGGGAGGCAGCTTCGGACCATTCGCGACCAGCATTCTTAGAATATGTCCTGAAATCGTTGTGAACAGTCTCCTCTCAATTTGGCCAACGTACTCGCTACCGCAAATACAGTGAAACAGGTAAATGAGCGTCCCAAAAGTCAACAATTATTTCCAAATTGTTAGGCGTGGAATTCAATGGCTTAGAGAAAATGCCAGTTCTCGAACACTGCATCCCTTGTTATATTGCAACCTCAGGGGCCCCTTCTAAAAGGGTTCCAACAAAGATGAAACCCATCATGAGGTGCAGTGTTGAGAGCGAGTAAGGCCAGAAGTTTTGCTTCGGATGAGGTGCTGATGATCGAAGTTGACTTCAGAATAAATCGTGAGCCAAATTCGTAGTGACTGCTGCAATTCAAACACACAATGAGTATTATAAACTCAACAACGGTTTCGCGACCGTCGTATCAAGCGTGGCTGGCGTAGCTGAGCCAGCTACCTAGAAAGAGGCCAGCTTCCGAAAAAACGACTCAGTAATACTACCTGCCCCATCTATATATCCCTTGAATTTAAATGATGAAATTTCTCGCAGAGCACGGTGTTTGAAGCTGAGGATAATGAAAGTTTCTCTGTGTGGTTTATAACTATTGAACGGATGGACATGCAGCCTATAAACTGGCAATGACCGTCTATCAGTCATGAAGCGTTTCCGCTGCTACGGCCTCTTTGTTGCATACTCGACAACTTCTTACCTCAGAGTGTGTAGTTCATCGATGATGATGTCATGTTGAAGGGAAGCTTCGGGGAGGCCAGACGATAAAGCGGTGATCAACTGAGACAAATAACTGGACAACTGCTTGCGGACAATAAATCGGTAAGTAAAAATCACCTCTCAGCACCTATGCAGAAAGTGATGCAAGAATAGATTGCAGCGCAACCGAGGACACGTTTACGGATGACGGAAGTGCTGATTACTAGGTTCGTTTCTTAAACTGCTGTGGTGAGTTTCTGCAAAACGGAATAGTGGTATGAAATGTAAAAAAATAATAACGAGAATAAAAGTGGAGTGAAGGTTCTGATTGGTTCTCTGAGCTGAATGATATCCTCAGTGCAAGTATCCCGAATTATTAAATGTGGAGTGATCAATAGCAAGTAGAATTAATTTCGTGGAAACGAGTCATCGCAGGATGGTGTTTAACTGCAGATAGCTAAACAGTGTACTAACAGAGCTACAGATAATCATGAAAAGAAAATACAACACGAACATGGGTATCCAAATTCGATGCATTCTTTTGTGCATTCTCTTTTTGATTTGACTCAGCGGCCTTTATTTCATTGTACTTCTCACCAGACCAGGGCCCAAGTGGTTCAGATACTTCACTGGAATCGGCGATTGATCCATTCGTAGAGTGTGGTGCAACGATAGCAGACGCTGGGTACGATCTTAAAAGATGGCTCTGGAATTCTAAGTAATTCGACTGTGAGAGACCAAAACATACGGTTGATGTATCCGTAGTCCGGTGAACGGCGACATGTTGGAGTGGGTATTGGAATTAAACGACTTTGACCCGGCTTCTCTTCCGATGAAGCAAAATCGAACAACAATGGAGGGAGTGGAGAGCGTAAGATGGGGGACTGTGAAGAAGGATGCAAGTTTGATACGGTGCCATTGTCCATCAGAATGCCATCGAGAGGCTCAGGTTTGTAGAGATTTTCTGTGAACTGGGAATAATTGGAAATTACAGAAAACACAGCGTTACCCAAGAGGACAAACACGTAGACTCGCATTGACTTGGTGGATGCAGAGCAGGAACGTCACTTGGACCTTCCACCAGCGATCCTTCGAGGTCAATCTTTTGAAGAGCCTGGACGAAATCCTTTGAAGCAGTGCAAGCAAAGAAAGATCTCGTACCTGGGGTGACAAAGGTTCATTCCGATCTATGTGTTCCGCACTCGATAGCTGTTTTGTCGGATACTGAGGGAGAAGCAAGATAGAGAATGATGAGCATAAACAACAAGCGGTGCCAAACAAACGAAAACAAAGAGACAAGAACAGCAGCTAGTAGCTCAGTTGTGTTACTAGTCTGAGCAGAGGCAAAGCGACTACGCAGGTAAGATTGTTAGATGGCCAAGCTGTATGTAGCTCCATAATGCAGCTCCGTTTCAGCGCGTGTTTGGATATTTGTGCATCAACCGGTTTAAAACCACTAAATGTGAAGAAAGCCTATAGAATGCAGTCTCTGCTGATAACGACACTAAAAGAATCATGCAGAGGTAAGTAATCACAGTTCACTCTCAGTCAGCAGGTTTTGGCACGTCTGGAAAAGCACCAGACAGCGCTGTTTCGATCTTCTGGGTCTCGTTAGTGGTGCGCCTTCCACGGACTCCTGCCGAGTTCCGAACCCATGAATTCCGGATGCCAGCAGCTTGTGCCATCACAGATTGACCTTAAGATAAAGTTGGAAGCTAATCAGTTAGTTAACCGATAAAAGAAGCAGAAGTGGTGGAAGCTTTTCGCGAAGTCTGATCACAAGTTTCTCCATTGGCTGAACCAGCCTTGTAGCATCCTATGTTCGACTGACTAAACAATACCTAGCCAAGTAAGCGGTGAGCGAATACACGTAGTAGGTACCGTAGCCAACGTAAACTGTTCATAGTTTTTTGTTGTTCCAGTGAACTACTAACTAGCACTCCTCTGCGCACATCGGCGTTGCGGACATTGTGTCGTTTAACAGGAGCATACGCCACAGACAACAATAAGCTAAGACTTCGAAACCGAAAGATACAAGTTTCATTCCCATAGAAGAGAACGTCTCTAGAGGTATCACTTTCAGTACGATGGAAATCACCTATCGCCACAGGGGCCCGCATATTCAAGACGACTCTGGTTTTCGCAAAAATAAACAATATTCTGCAGTCGAGTCACCACCGTTGCCAGTGCAGCTGCAAGGGTTAGTAAATTAGGCAACTATCTTCAGTTCCATTTAATCAAAATCATCAAGTAATGCTGCAACAACATTTTTTCAATATGAAGGAGCGAAGCGCATAAGAAATGATGGGGGCACTACAGAGAATTTAATCAAGACTAATAAAGCATCGTCTGAAGACAATGTGCCTTCACATTAATTTCGTTTATGCCCCACTGAATGCAGTTTGGAGGATATTAAAGTCGATTTCTATGTCAGCTCTCATCTCTTCTTTGCATGGCGAAAAATAGTGACAGTGACTTGAAGATCGTTAAGAAGCTAAACAACACTTAGGAGGGTCACTTCGGGAGAGATGAACGTCGAACAGGCAGTGGAGATCGATCCCTGAAAGTAATTGCTGCCCACAATCTTTGCATTGGCAACACTAGGTTTCAACACAAACGTTCATAACGTGTCGCCTGGCGCCCATCGAATTCCACGATGATCTGGACCCAACCTGACAATATTGCCATCAAGAACAGATGGCGCACATCGGTACAAGACTTAGATAAATCTGGAGTAAAGCCCCAAATTCCGATATTGCTCTAGCGCAAACATGCCTAACACTCATTCTTCTAGTTTCAAAGAAACGCCCAACTTATAAGCTTGTGACTTGATGCTTGAACTAGTATTCCGCAATGCAAAATATCAAGACAAACTGACTCACCGGTTGGTGAGCCGAATGCTGACTGGAGTCATCTAACGACTCAGTGAAAAAATGTGTTTGACGGCCGCTATACACCCAACCTGATACGGCCGAAGTGCTAATGGATCAGTGAGGCATACACCAGTTTGATCAAAGCCCGCAGACCAGGTACCCATTTTTAACTTGCCCTAACGCCATGAAACAACGAGACGCAAGGAGTTTTTGAAATGACCAGGAATGTTGGTGAATGACAACGGCCCATGAGATGTAAAAAGCCAATACAGCTCATTTAAACGAGCATGGTTCGGGCATCGAAATGCGGTGGATCCAGTTGCCACGACTCATGTCGACGGACTGATAACAACTCATGGTCAAGTGGAAAAAATATCCTAGGCGTGGACATCAGAACCACAAGTTAGCGAACAAGCTCGTTTTCGGTGGCTCTTGTCAGGCTAAAACATCACAACTGATAGGAATAAGATTAACATAAAACATCAGATAATGGTAAACTTCAAAGTTTATGGTCATTGGAATGAAAATGCTAAGTAATCGGATCAGAAGTGATCGATGACTTTTCAGCGGCATGTCCCTCAACATGAGTCGCTGTGGTAGCGGGCCAGGGCAAACATAGAATCTGAACGAACCGTTTTTGAGCACATAAGCGGATAGCAATTGCCTCAGCTGCTGCTAGTAAGCGACATTTTACCGCTTGTGAAAGGCGTCCAGGTACACGGTAAATGGGTTGAAAAGGTTGTCAGGTGTCGATTTGGTGATTAGAATCAACCAAGTGTGCCAACAAGGCGCTCATCACAGTTTTGCTCCTACCATTGCGTAGATCAGCTGGACAATGCTCACGTATTCTATCAGACAGCCTCCTAGTAGTTCTTCCGATGTATATTGCTCGACATGAACAAGAGAAGGAATATACACAGTAAGAAGCATATGGCCAAGGAAGTCTGTTTTTGAGTTGAGGCCTCACGATTGGTGTCGAAGTAAATCTTAGCCGCAAGCTCGCTGCGTAGTAGGCATGGCTCATAGCGTCGGATAACCTTCTAGATATTGCCCGCGCTATACCATCCCCCTTGAATGGCAATGACAGATAAACCGATTTCTTTCCTACCGAAGCTGGCTTAGGTCTCATTTCTCTGCACTCCATATATTTCCGAGCAAATTTTGCTGGATAGCCATTTTTTTCGAAAACGTCACTTAAGAAATTGAGCTCGTCCGCAAGTGTGTCCTCACTACAAATCCTTCTGGCCGTTTCGGTTGGACATCTAATCAAGTTGTGTTTCTGATATATTGGGACAAAACTGCCAAAATGTATATATTGTCCGTTCCACGTTGTTTTTCTATGCAACCTCCGCTGAACCGATCCATCTGGTATTCTACTAAGCTGAACGTTTAGGAAGGACATCGTGTCATTACCTTCAGTTTCTAGGGTGAATTTGGCATTAGGGTGCGCTGAGTTAAAATGGGATAAAATTGTCTCTGGGCAACAATGCCTGTCTGTCACGCCAAATATATCATCCACATATCGCCCGTAATATGGTAGACCAGTAATGACTCCGCTCAGATACGTATTCTCTAATTTGCTCATGAAGACATCCGCCAGTAGCGGTAAGAGTGGTGAGCCCATTGTTACTCCATCTCTTTGTCTGTATATGGCCCAGTTAAATTGAAATTGTATGTTACTAGTACACAACATGAGTAGCTGTTTCAATCGATCACTTGAAAGCCCGATACCCAGTTGATGGTCTCGAACGGTGTCACATATATAGTCTGTTGTCCCTTCTAAGACTCCGTAAGACACCTTCAGCTAACCGGAAGAAAGATGTTTTCGTTGGATGTGGTGTCGCTCTTCATCAATATTCCGTTAGAAGAGAGAATAGAATTAAATAAATGGATAATCAAAATAGCCGTGATAGAATCAGGATGACAGAAAAAGGGATCAAGACATACGTAAAAGCAAAAAAACGGAGTTAATCATCTTTGGCTTAAGCTAAATGTGCAATTTAATAGATTATCCAGGTACACATTAAAATGAGGTAACAAAATAGCAAATAGGTAGCAAACCTGAAATAAAGAAACTCAGCACGCAATCACACGGTTAGTAAATCGAATGCAGCGTACCAACAAACGCTGCGCCGGTTCTGCCTACGTTTTCAGCAGGGCTCGTCGTCGTTTCGATGTTGACTCCGAGTGGCCTCCCTCATGACTCATTAGACCTTCTTGACTCAAGCACTTGCGACCGCATGTGCTACAGCACCATGCGATCGATGTCGATGGAGTACAGCCCATCGACACCTATCACTTCTTCTCTGCATGCACGAGGGCTTTCTTTTGCACCTCGGCAACAGCCTTCGTGATCAGATCGCGCTATGCACGCCGATCAACCGCCTTCGATTTCAATGACTTACAATCAAGGTTAGAACGAGAGGCTCACTTTGATCATGTTCTGGTAACGAAGCTTCGGTTTCCCCATATGCCGCTTCCCAACACTCAGTTGACCATATAATAGCTACTTCGGTATCCGCGTCGAATCCATACGCCACATATGACCGAGCCATCTGTGTCTCAGCAAAAGTATGCAGTCCACTGCACACATTTCACCGCGTCGGAGCACCTCCGTGTCAGCAACTCGGTCACTCCAGCCGATGCGCATAACACAGTGCAGACACTGATGATGGAAGCGCTTCAGACATCAGACATCCGATAAAGCGTCCAGGTTTCGCTGCCGTATAGAACGGACAGCACCAGACTCATATACAACAGCTTCGTCCCAACAGTGAGCTGGTGGTTGTCCCACAAGCGGCCTTCCAGATTGCCAAATGCAGCAAACGCCTTGGATACGCGGCTGGGAAGCTCGCTCGTCCTCTGCTAGTCGGCTGTTATTACGATACCAAGGTAGCAAAATCTCGAAGTGGTTTCCAAAACTTCGTCAGCAGTTTGGATTTGGAACAGGAACAGGAACACAGACTCCATTCCGGGTGAAGGCTGAAAGAGACAGACAGTTTTGCTTGTGCTGATGGTGAGCCGGAATCTGGCCGTTATCAAAGCCAGAACACAAGTCATGTGCCGCAACTCATCCGCGCAACCAGACTAGACCTTAACGTGGTGCGACGGTTTGCGTACCTCATTGACCCATTGAGTGGGTGGTGCCTCCGAGTCCCTTGAGTGCTACTCCTACCAGATTGGTCAATGGTGAGAGGTCAGACAAACTCAGTTTCCTGGTCATCCAGGTTAGGGGTTTGAAACGCGATGGCGTACATTTCTGTAAAACTAAATCACTGCCATCTCCCCACTGCCTTGCGGACAGGCTTTTGAGCCAAAGGCTTTGGATGAGGACCCTAATCATCCTCCTGT